CGAGGGGGCTGCGGGCGCCGGGGGAGCCGCGGGGGCTGCGGGCACCGGGGACGCCGCAGGCGCCAACGTCGGGGGCACCGGGGGCGCCAGCGCCGTGGCTGTACGTAGGAGGCGCCGCATGCGGGTGCGCGCCTCAAAGCCAGGGGCGGGCCAAGAGAGGCGCACGAGCTCCCAGGGAGAGGCGTCAAGGAGCCCGCGTCACTGGTGGCGGGAGGAACAGCCGGGGGTACCTGGTGAAACGGAAATACATGCTCGTCAAAGTAAACGTGCCGGAAAGTGAACACACGATGGGAGACGGGATCATAGCACCGATATCCCTTAGAGTTAGAGGGGTAGCCGACGAAGATGCAAGCGACAGATCGAGGTGCAAGCTTGTGTGAAGCAGTGTCGGCAGTGCTGAGATAGCAAAGGCACCCAAAAATACGCAAGTTGTCATAATACGGGGGCGTACCAAAGAGAATATGGTGAGGTGCGTAGTTACACCGTGGGCGGCAGGGTCTAATGTTAAAAAGAATTGATGCAGTGGCGAGTGCGTCCGGCCAGAAACGAGGCGGCACGTTGGCATGAAACAGGAGCGTGCGAACACAGTCATTCAGAGTGCGAAGGATGCGTTCGGCTCGACCGATCTGCTGTGAAGTGTACGTGCATGTGAGGCGAAAAATTGTATCGTGATGCGACAAAAAGGTGCGGAAAGCGAGGTTGTCGAACTCTTTTCCATTGTCCGTCTGAAGCGCAAGGATGGGACACCCAAACTGCGTGCAGACATAGGAGTAAAAAGCCGTCAAGGTAGAGAGTGCATCTGACTTTCTGCGCAAAGGAAAAGTCCACACATAATGAGAATTATCATCAAGAATGACCAGATAATATAAATAGCCCGAGTTACTGGAAACCGGAGAAGTCCACACATCGCTATGAATCAACTCAGAAGGAAAAGAAGCAATGGTGGTGGAATTTTTAAACGGCAGACGAACATGTTTGCCGACTCGACAGGCATGACAAGTGTGATCCTCGATCTTATTGCAGCTGAAACTAAAACTCTTAAGAATATGACGAAATGTGACGGGATTGGGATGACCCAAGCGAGCATGCCAGAGATCGACTCCAGCGGAGAGAGCAACCGGTGCGGTGGTGGTGGATGAAGGCGAGTGCACCGGATAGAGCTCGTCAGGGCTGTCACATCGGTGAAGTACCATCCTGGTTCGAGCGTCTTTGACACAAAAACCAAGCTCGTCAAATTCAATGGTAACAGGATTTTCACGAGTGAAACAGCGAACAGATATGAGATTCTTAATAAGATGGGGCGACACAAGTATGTTAGACAAAGATAATGGAGTAGAACTAGAAGAAAAATAAGTGTGCCCAATGTGTGTGATAGGAAGTGTGGAACCGTCGCCGACAATGATGCGGCGGTCGATGGAGATAGGGGCGAAGGAGGCAAGGTTACCAGGATGTACCAATCACCACCTCCAGTGTAGTTATTCGGCGTAGGAGCGGCATGCGGTGCGGGGAGGAGCACCGGGTCCCAGGGCGCCGGTGACAGGGCCGGCGAGGGGGCGGAGACACCATGGGGAGGCCGTAGCCACCGCTCGATTGCGGCAGTGGGTACTCTCCATACGGTATGGGTAGCAGCCTCGGCTGCGACTCTGGTGTCGGGTAGATTGGATGGCCTGCCGGAAAACCTGCAGGTACTGGGCGCCATCAGGCTGCTGCGAGTGCTGGCCTGCTGACGACCCCCACCAGTATCCGGAAGACCCGTACACAGACGGAGCCCCGTACGTAGAATACCCGTACGTGGGAACGGGCGCGTTAAACACCCCGTGCAACAGCAAAGGGTCGACTGGCAGAGGTGGCGCCGGCGACGGGGTGACGACGGACTGGCCCGAGAGCGCCGGTGGTGGCAGGGCCGCGCCGTAGGACACCGACGGCGGAGCCGCGCCAGAGGGCCCGTAGCGGGACTGGTCGGAAAGCGCCAACGGCGGTAGGGCGGCGCCGTAGGACACTGGCAACGGAGCCGCGCCAGAGGACGCCGTCAGCGGGACGGCAAAGACGGCGGCGAACGGACCGGTGAACACCATCGGGGATTGGCAGCGGCAGATCGCGACAGGCGGCAGTAGCGGCTGGCAAGGCGAGCGGGCGCTGGCAGGCTATGCGAGCAAGCGAGGTGTGCTGGCGATCGGGAATAGGCGATACAGGCGAGCGCCGTCGGGCAAAGCCAGCGGGCGATCGGGTGAGTGGGCGAACGGGCGATGCGCGGAGCTGGCGAGGCGAGCGGCTAGCGATGCGAGAGGCGAGAACCACGCAAGGTTTTGGATTCCGAATGGAACATTTTTCTCGTGGGGGGGCGGTAAACTCGGTTACCGCGGTAACCACGAAATACCGACAAAAATTCGAGCGAAATTTAAAATTCAAATTTGAATTCGAATTTTTTAAGACTAGAATAGATAAGTTTGGAGCACCAACTGTATGCAGCAGTAGTACTAGCGCAGTGGTAACGGGTCTGATCCACTGCCACGCACCTGCAGGTCGCGAGTTCGACCTTCGCATGCACATATTTTTTTAGAAATTACAACATAGTGTGGCGTGCATTCCTCAAAAATCAAAAAGGAAAAAATGCGGCCGGCTGTCCTCGAACACATGACGCTCTGTTGCAGGAGGATGATCCTTACCACTAGGACACAAGTCAGCTTGTGTTTGTGGCAGAGATATATCTCATTTAACTAGAAGTTAGGAGTTTAAATTCAAAAAATTTAAAAAGTTCGATTTTTTTTACTCGAGATACCTAATTATCGTGGGGCAGCGAGAAATGCGGTTACCGGGCGGTAACCAAATTTACCGCCCGGTACCCAAAACCATGGAACCACGTACGTGTAACCAACCAGCTAGCAAGCTAGCAGGCAGCTCAATGGATTCTGGCCATGGCCATACGTACGTGTGTAGAGCCTCGACGATCAACACAGGCAACGCGATGCGAGGCTGGCGGGCGGCTGGGGAAGCACGCGCGCAGGGAGGGAAGGAGCGGCGGCCGGCGCGGAAGGCGCGCAGACAGTGGCGGCTAGGCGGCGGCGGCGGTGCGGAAGAGCGCGGCGGCGGCAGCGGAAGGCTAAGGTTTGAATCTAAAAACTGATACCATGTAAGATTATAATTGCACAACGTATTACTCTTCATGCTCGTGCATAGCACGTATATATGATATACAAAGGTGGGTCACAGACCTTAACTATATAAGGAAACTAGAAGATGGGCCTAATACACAATATGCACATAACACATATACTCAACACGGAGAAAGGGGTTCCGTTGGCGATCCCGCCGGTGTCTGATGGACCCCATGAAGAGCTTGCCTCATGGCTGTTGGGATGGTTTGCTGATGCCGGCGACCAGGAGCGGGAGTTAATGGTTCAGGCTATGTATGGTCTTTGGCTCGCAAAGAATGAAGCGAGGGATGGCAAAAAGATTGCGGATCCCAGGGTGGTTGCAGAGAGTGTTCATCAGCATATCATAGAATGGACCGCCGTTCATGCAAAGCAACCGAGGTGCTCCTCTGCAGCACCGGCTGTGAGATGGAGTCTGCCGGAGCAAGGGTTGCTCAAGGAAAACTCAGACGGAGCTGTGTCTAAGCTGTGGGATCGTGGAGGTGGAGGAGTGGTTCTTCGAGACCATGTCGGAGCGTTTAGAGGGGGCGCCTGCTACATATTCCGGGATGTGTCTGATCCCGAGGTGGCCGAGATACTTGCTTGCCGCAAGGCGGTGCAGCTACCGATCCATGCTGGAGCTACCAGGGTGCACGTTGAAGTCGACAACAAGGGAGTGGCGGCCATGTTGAATGACCAGGCAAAAAACTTAAGTGTGGCTGGCCCGATCATTGAAGAAATCAAGCTGCTGGGAAGGACTCTTGAGGGTTTTAAAGCTTCCTGGGTTAGAAGATCAGGGAACCAAGGAGCTCACTTGTTAGCTAGAGAAGGAGTTAGTAAGGAACTTTGTAGTTTTTGGCCTAGCGATCCGCCTAACTGTATTATGCATGTAATATCCGATGAAATCCCAGGTGTAGGATGATTAATAAAGCTTGATGATGATTCTAAAAAAAAGGACGATGGTATTACTAGTCCGGGTAGAATATATTTACAGCGTTAATGTTGAGTCCGGCGGAGTTTGCTTGCCTGTGTCCGTGTAGGTTTAGGTTTTGTGTTTAGTTCGGTCAGGTCGGCCGTTATATATACACCACAGGTTGTGTCAAGTTTGTATCCTGAGAAAAAGGGGAAACATATATGCACGCTCACAACAGCTTGCATGGAAACGTCTCTTTTAATGCCCGGCCGCGGCCGCAGCGCGAGCGACGAGGGATCCCGACCGGCCCGCTCACGCACCACATGCCTCCGTTCCCAAATCAATGTCGACGAGGATGGCGCCGGAGTGGCCTGCAACCGCCGCAGCGGTAAGCGCCTCCGCGCACGGACCCATGCCAGCGAGGAGGGCGACGGCAGCTCGCCGGAGCCGCCTGCCTCCCTGCCGGACAGCGAAGATATGGTCCGGGAGATCCTCCTCCGCCTCCCCCTTGACCTATACTCTCTTCCCCGCGCCTCCGCCGTGTGCAAGCAGTGGCGATGCATCCTCGCCGACCCCAAGTTCCTCCGCCGGTTCTACGCGCACCACCGCAAGCCACCCCTCCTTGGCTTCTTCCATTACGGCAGCACACCGATCACGTTCACGCCCGTCCTGGCCCCTGCTCCCGACCGCATCACCCCTGGGCGCTTCTCCCTTGGACACTACAGCAACCGCATCCTGATTGATTCCCGCCACGGCCGCGTCCTCGTCTTAGGTCCTCATCAAGAGGTCGTCGTTTGTGACCCTATCACCAGCAAACATCACCGAGTGCCCATTCCGCCCGAGTTCAACGGACGCTTCTTTAACGCGACAGTGCTTTGTGCTGCTAGCGAGCAGGGCCATGTGCACGGCAGCTGCCACTTATGCCCCTTCAAGGTGGTCTTGGTGTCCTACAGAGAGAATAAGCACCCCTATGCATGCGTTTACTCCTCGGAGACTGCCACATGGGGCAATGTCATCTCAACAGTAGCTTCAGATGATACAACATTTGGTCCTTGTTGTAGCACCCTTGTAGATAATGTCCTTTACTGGCCAGCTAAGAAAAAAGGAGATGACATAGTTGAGTTTGATTTGGGCACGCAGAACCTTAATGTTATCAAGGGGCCTCCATGTATGAATATGAATGATTTCGACAACTTTCATATCATTGACGCAGAGGATGGCGCCGTTGGTCTTGTGGCTTTGTCTCGCCAGCTTAACCTTCAAATGTGGCGGAGGAGGGTCGATTGTCGGGGTGTTACCACATGGTTGTTGCAGAAGTCTGTTTCATTGGGTGAACTTCTTAAGATCCCTTCTTGGACTATGAGAAGGATTGAACCGCTCAAAGTGGTGGGTTATGATGAGGATACCGATGTAATCTTTTTAGAGAGTCACGATGGTGTGTATATGGTTCAGCCAAAGTCAATGCAAGCCAGGAAACTTAATGGAATCAGCTCTACATATTACTGCTATACTTTAGCGAGTCTCTGTCTACTAGGTGGTTGATCATCCTTGGTCTTTATATCTTAGAATGCACACAGCCTATTTTATGTTCTGTACATGATTTCTCGCGTACAGTTCTTGTAATTATTAAATGTTCGCTTATAGCTTGAACTTACCAAGCAATTTCCTTGTAAACATTTTTTTCTCAATTTTTATACACAAAAATAAATTCCCTTTCTTGCCTTGAAATCTATTTATTTAAAAAAGCATACCCAATATCATATTTGTTTCTCGTGTTTGTTGTTTTGGCATAGTATTGGCTGGTTGACATGATGAGGATTGAACTCGCATGAGGAAATGTATAGGTTCATTTGTCTTACAAACTAAATTCTCCATTATGAGTTAGCTAAGTATATTCCTTCTATGAATATGCCTGGCATGCTACAACAAACGTGGTTTTGTTTTACCTATTGCTAGTATGGAGACTAACTTATCCATTCGTCTTCTCTTATCTATAGAAATAAGTCATATAAGTGAATGATCTTGCTCAACATGTATTTGTCAGCTCATTTTTTGAACTGTTTCATGTTGCCTTCTCATATCCATTTGTCTTTATTGTGGGATTGTTGTTAATTGTTGGAGTTCTTATGCTTCTAGACACAACCATTGCCAGTGGAACCAATGGAGTTGAAATATTAGGATGACTGTGTGGTTTGATGTGCTAATGTGCGGAAATAGTTCAAGTGGTAAGATCTTGTAAAGATGGTATGTGAGATTGATACTGTTTGATCTTGACTTTGGATAATATGTATGGCTGCCAGTATATATGGGTAGTATGCACTCTCAATCTAGTGCCCATTCGGCTATGGGGATTGCACTGCACATGCTAATAACATGGACAAACAGTTAAAATGAAGGTGATGCCAAGTAAAAAATGACTTTATGTTGTATCATAAGTGAATTATGCAGACCTTCGACATGTTGTATGTCCATAGTTCTCCATTGTTTTGGACGTTTCACATTCTACAAGTTCAAAGAAATGTAAAAGGTTGAAGGGTTTATTTTGTTGTCATTGTATATAGCAAGAAATATGATATAGCTCTTGGCTTTTTGAGGGTGTATGATATAACTCTTCTTTATGCATATGCTATGTTATTGAGCTGACCATGGGTTTGTGCACGTCTTGTTCATACATAGGTGTATCTTTATCATACACCCTTAAAAAACATTTGTACATTTTGGTTCAAGGCATTAATTAGTTGTATCGTGACCGGCTATATAGCTTAACGGTCTTCCGATGATGATTAAATCCCCAACGTCAGAATCTGTGCTCGGCTATGCTCATCTAATAACTTTGTTTTGTTTCATCAACCCGAGATGCTTCACATGATTTGTCTGAAGAATCCGTCCCTCGTGTCAACCAGATTTATCCATCCTGGTCCTGGTCCTGGTTTTGTTACCCAAAATTCACCGCTTGCATGCTTAATAGGATGAACTACATCAGAGACACACATAGACATATTGGTTCTGAATCTTCCTGAAAGACAATGCTTGTACCAAATCTAAATAAACAGTCGGACGATATTACTTTCAGACATATTTCTAGGCCAGATAATGACACATCCCTTATTCATTTACTTATTTATTAATTCACAACAAGAGGAATTTAATTACAAGGGAAATTGGAGTTGCCAACACAAAAGTCTGAGCAATAACAAAACACACAGACCAGCATGCGCCGAAGCAAAATATCAGATGCCGGATGAAGTACCAACAGAATATAGCTCGAGATTGATTGGAAAAATCGTAAGTCAAGCTATCAATTACAGTAGCAAGAAC